GGCTATGTGCCCCCTGCTATGTGCTGATGTGCAATTTTAACGCATTCAGTTAGTAAGGATCGGTCACTGTTGTATGGTATTATATATAATGACATTATGGAATAGGATGGGGACAGGCCTGGCATCACGGGGGGAGGGAGGAGTGTCGCCCCTTCAGTTTTGGGCAAAAAGATTTACCTAACTTAATTTGCACCCTGAAAAAACAGTTGTACTTTGTCAATGGTCAGACAACACTAAATGACACTAACAGTCACTCAGACTGTTTGATGTGCAGGAGGGCTATCCATCCAGGAACTGCACATATCAGTGTTGTTATTGAGTGTCAACATTACGATCCTGTTTGCTCAGGTGGACCGATTCCTTGCAGTAGTTTGTCATTATACTTAAAATCGGACTAGTAATAGCAGTCTGTGCTTTCTGTTGGTTTTACAACATTTTTTTTCTTAACGATTCAGAACCTCCATGTAGCTGCAAAAATGAATGCTTATGGTACTTTTCGCTCCAGGCAATACAAACCACGAGAGTGTACGAAGTAAATTACGGCACTCTGCACAGTGTACGAAGTAAATTATTTTGCAGTAATTAATTTATTATATTTATTACTATATTTATTATACACGTGTAAATTAATTACTGCGAAAATAATTTACTTCGTACACTGTGCAGAGTGCCGTATACTCCTAGTTGCGGCACACACGATACATACAGTAAAAAGCCTCAGACACTGTGTTAGATGTGTTTTCGATGTTATATATGCATTTATTAATGTAGTCGATTTTACGGTTGCAATTCGACGTTGATTATACGTTGCGGCAACGTATGTATACGTATAGCCGTATTTTCGCCGTGAATATACGTATATTCTACGAATCAATGCCCACTGGGTTGGATGTCTCTTCATAACTAATTGCTAAACCATCCTAGCTACTGTAATTTATGGTACAGTACATTATGTGAACATCCCTCTTTCTTCAAAGATATTGTAGAAATTAGATCAATCTTTGACATTGTAGAAATAAGAATCCTCCCATCTTCATCTGCATTAAAATGTGTTTTTTACTTCATTTGTTAAAAGTTTACATTTCAATTTTTTATATTGAATAAAAGTTGATTATGTGTATGAATTCTTTATATTTCTAATTATCTGAGGTAGATTCCTGGTAGACCAAAACTCCCTCCTTTTTCGCTTATAATGTTCATGGTGGAACATTTTCTTAGACAGATACAAAGCTGCATTAACATTTATGCTTTTAATAAACTCATGTCGGTTGCATAATACTTTTAATTCAATACAGAATGTACCATGTAATCTACAGTCTGCAATAACCTGCTCAGTGATCTGAAGATCTACAGATATAAGCACAGGGGAGTGGTTATTACAGTGTATTAACCGTAAATCTGATCTAGCTTCGCAATTATTTAAACTCAACAGCTCTGATCCACAAGAACACCAGTTCAATGTTTACAATGTGCATGAGAAGAAAAAATTGTGAATGTCATCACCGAAGGACATCACCATTTTGTCTAAATATATAGCCAGCAGCCATATCACCCTACAACTCACAACTGGCAACCCACTGAAGCTAAGCTGGTGGGAGTACCTGGATGGGAGAGCTCCTGGGGAGACCTCCTGAGGAAAAAGGCTGGAAGGCTGCTGGAAGAGGTGTTAATGGGGCCAGCAGGGGGCGTTCACCCTGCGGTCCATGTGGGTCCTAATGCCCCAGTATAGTGATGGGGACACTATACTGTAAACAGGCACCGTCCTTCAGATGAGATGTAAAACCGAGGTCGCTTATCGAAAAGAGTAGGGGTGTTACCCCGGCATCAATTTCCCATTGACCCTTACCAATCATGGCATCCTAATAATCCCCCTACTGTCTATGAATTGGCTTCATTACTCTTCTCTCCTCCCCACTGATAGCTGATGTGTGGTGAGCGTTCTGGTGTACTATGGCTGCCGTCGCATCATCCAGGTGGATGCTGCACATTGGTGGTGGTATAGTCCCCATTACCTGTAAAGAGCTTTGAGTGGAATGTCCAGAAGAGCGCTATATAAGTGTAAGCAATTATTATTATAAAATAATTTAAGTCAAAACAAAATAATGTAAGTCACGATTGTCATTTGAGGCACTGTATATGGTGAGCCATATATTTGCCATATCGATCAGATAATGCAAGGTAAAGAATTTGAGTTATGTGAGCAAAGAGTACATCAAAGGTTGTGAGGCTCGGTCATTGACGTTTTTACATACAGTTAGTCAATCAAGCCAAAAAAAATTTTTTTGGATATTCACTTCATTACATTGACTCCTCTTGTCAAATATTCAGAATTTCAGTATTAGGCATACATTGAATTATACACAAACATATTTGTGCCAAATACAGAAGATCTCTTCATAAGCTTTTTTGTTGAATTATTTGAACTGCTGAATACATACAAATCATCTTATTTATCTACATATTGCTCGCTCCAGTTGTCTGTACTGTATTTCATGCAACTTTCAGAATTATGTTGTATCACCACTTATGTTGTACAACCACTTTTCAGCTACTCAGTACTGCACACTGTACATGCTTGAAGGTTTGGAATAATCATCATCATCATCATCATCATCATAAATTATATAGTGTTTTTCTGGAAACTCCACTCAAAGCACTTTACAGGTAATGGGTACTCCCCTTCATCACCACCAATGTGCAGCAACCACCTGGATGAAACATGGAATGAAATATGGAATTATTTTCTCAAACACCTTTTAATGCAAAGACTCTCAGTAGTATGACAGCAGTCTCTTCTCAAGAATTAGTAACCCCACCCCACAGGGTGGATCATCATCTCCATCCAGTCAAACACTGATGAATGGTACACAGATGCAAGGATAGAAAGCAAAGAATACCTAACATACTATACTACAGGTAGTAATCATGATAAATTTCAGATTTCATGGTATACCATAATGCATACAGTATACTAATTCTAGTCATCATCATTATCCTCCAGATCCACTAAGTTCCAATTCCAGTTGCTCTAAGACTTACTGAAGTGTTGTACCTTGATCTGAAATCTAGATTCTGTCATTCAGTTGGTTTAGTAATGTTATTGCATTAGTAAGTAACAACATCAGATAGCGTAAAAAACTTGTATCTATTACATAGCCATATAAAATTTTATTAAATAACAGAATTAAATATTCTGTTAAATAGCTCTCAAAACACCCTTGCACCCTTAATACATCTGTGACAGAGAGGGTCAGAAGTAATTACCATCTTGAAACGTCTGTGTGGTATTGCATAGGCTCATTGTTCAAGTACAAAGTAGATCAGTTGATGTGCAAGATTACTAAAAGAGGAAACATACAGTACTAATACTAACTACAGTAACTCAGTAACTCCAGATATACTGTCAAACACTTTAATCAGTTCTTTATATTTGTTTTTGTGAAGATCAGCAGTCTGCAGTAAATACTATTTTCGCAGTTGACTTGCTATGGGAAATTGTCCTGTCATTTATTAAGTCTGTTAGGAAATGCATGGATCTTGGGATGGTTGATTTTTCCCAGGAGAATATTAGGCAGAAACATTTCAGATAGCAGCATGCCAGTATTCCAGGTTTGCTTTTTAACTTTTTTACTATCATTCATCAGTGCCAATCTATCATTGTATTTTTGTGATTTAAAAAGATTTGTATTGTCTTTTGAAATCCAATGGTGAAATTACTGGTTCTGAAAAATATCTTACTTCCATTAATGTACAGTCCTTCTGTACCGATTTGTTTTTAATTTTAAAGATAATTGTTTTTTGTAGAATTAATCACAGTTACTTTATTGATTACCTAATAAGAATCTAGAGTACCTACAGGGGAGCCTGGAGGGTAATGATTGGGCTTCAGGTTAGGAACCTCAAAAACACGTGGTCAAAAATACTCAAGGCATTAATTATCAAAAATGTTACCAAATGTACATATGAACATCCTTAGAAGTCAATAGGTTGATAGGAAAAAGGATGAGAATCAATAAGTTGAAAGTGCCATTACGTAAAAGTTTTGAAACGTTGTGTCGAAAAAGAGGTTTACTTTTTTCCCAAATTCTGTTGAGTTTGCTATTATAGGGCACACTTGTCAAGAAAGTGTCCTAAATCCTAAAGGTTTATTGGCTAGATTAATATATCCTTAATTGAGTACCAAAAACCTAACAAACTTGCATTTTATCCATCTTTATTGGGTCACAAACTGAAAGCCTCATTGTAGTATTTAAAATGAAATAAAGACAAAACAAATTTAATGTTTTACTGTTGTTAACTGATTCCTTGAGCATTTACAGTACTCCTCCAAATAATGATAACATGGAAAGTAAATTATTAGCACAAGTAAGTATATTCATTATTAGAATGCATATTCAAACATACACTGTGGGCATAAATAACATATGCTTTGATTTTATTAAGGGGAATAAGCAAACAAACAAATTAACACATTTGCTAAAGGCTAGAGGAGGTCCTAGTACCTACAGTAAGTAATAGAAGGCCAAGAAAATTGACTGAACAGTGAATTATTTTGTCTGTGTTGTTAAAAGGTCTAAGAAATAACTTTGACCAATTTGTCTTATATCCAGTGATATCTAATTTATCAAATGCTCCTAATGTTTTATTAATATTAATATTACACATGGGGGGCTGATGTAAAGCCATCATACTGAAAAATTAAATCTGGTTAGCATGATGAAGAATATGTGTTGTTCTCTGTATATCAAAGGGAGAAATGCTGGCATGTTGTTTAATAGCTTGTGGTTCTAATAAGATTACAAGCAATAATGTAACAATGGGCACTCTTGTCAAGTACCCCATAAAACAGAGGGTATCACTGTCCCAGTTTGAATAAATGTTGTGTAGGTGTTTAAAGTATGAATAAATTTAATAAATGACCAACACCAGACTGTTTCTGAATAACCCAGATATGTTGTTTCTTTTCTGCATCTAAACAGCACAATGGACAGAATGATGAGGTGTTTTATATACACAGTAAATTAGACAACATACATTAGTAAAAGAAAACCATCTCTCTAAAAAAACTTTTTTTTTCTTTGGTTGCCGCTTAAATCCTTAAACTAGTATTCTATATTATAAAGATTAGTCATTATAACAAAAACAAGGTAACCATATTATTGTAGTACATCTACATATGTGAATGACTGCACTTTTCAAATGTTCTGTATTATGTTCATCTTAGTTTTTTTATCCTTTTCAAATTCTATGAGTTCTTTAAACTCCTAATCCCAGGTGAAGTTTTCATTTTTTTCAGTTTTTTGATTGTTAGACTTATTTTGTTATCAATCTGGGAAAAACAGAGAATCTTAACTAATAAAAATGTTTTGCAATGTAGACCCAATGCTTTTGTTTTCAAGTAATTGAGATGGTACATTTAAGAAACAAAGAATACGTATCTCTTGAGGAATAATGGCATCTAAGAGAACCTCTTGTAACTTCTTGTTATTGCATTTATGAGGATACATACCATTGCTTTTCTTCTGTTTCAGAACTGATTAGGCCATAAAATAAAGGCCTATTCTCAAGAAAGATCATTAAAATTCATGACTGCTTATGTGTGCTGTGTTTATTTAACAGGGCTTATAAACCGTACATTAAGCTGAGCCGTTTTGATTATGGAAAAATTAGCATTAAAGTTGGGGGGGGACATGGACCCAGCAATAGAGGTGAGAAAAACAGCAAGAAAATTGTCACAAAGAAGAGCTCTGATAATCCATGTGATTTTCCTGCCCACAGATATGAACTATTGAGACGAAAAATCTACCAACCATTGGCCTCCCATCCCCCTGAAGATTTGAATCTGTGGTACAATATTTACGCAGGAGCCAAATTGTTTTATGAAGATAAAGGCCTTAGCAGGTGAGATTACAAAAATTAGCTTTAAAACAAACTGTGGTGGTGTGTACCAATCTGTTTTGTGCACTGATGCCATCTTTTAATACTGTTTAAAGATATATTAAGCAAATATTCTGGAATCAAATTGTTTCCTGCTAATCTTTTGTAGGCAATTGTCATATTTCTTCACATGCAGAAAGGCTGTTTTCAGGCCTTTAGAACTTCAGACTTTTGTACTTTAGCTGATAGTTTTTAAACACAGGATGTGACAGCATTGGATTCGATAACATTTAAGTGTTTTGAACAATTATTTCTGCTTTCTTTGTTTGCCAAAGGTTTACAACATATCAGTACAGGCTTCTGGTACACAATGATGTGGGATTCACCTCTGGGAAAGAGGTCAATGGCACAACACTGGCTGGAGTTCCTGTAAAGCCAAGCACTCTGGAAGCCCAGACATTGAATCATACTGCTATAGAAGTTAACTGGAGTCAACCAAGTAAGACTTATTATCGTCTTGTTCTGAATTTTTATAAATGACTAATCCACTGTTGTAGAATGACTTTCAAACCTTTTTAACGTTCTATAGTGTACACCTTTGTTTTGTTTGTGGCAAATAGAATCCAGATTTTTATGTTTACATTTAAAACAATTAAACAAAATTGATTTTAAGAAAAAATTATTTGAAAATCCCATGAGTTCAGACTCATCCATTTTCTAACCATTTTATCCAATACATGGTTGCAGGTAAGTTGGAGTCAATGCCAGTAGGCAATGGGCACAACATGAGATACACCCTGGATAGGCACCAGTCCAACACAGGGCAGACACAGACACAAACACATACGCACTCACACCAGTACAGATCATATGATATAGTCATTTGTATCTCCCTTATTAGGATTTATTAGTGTAATACATATTCGAGTAAGAACCACCCTTCCAGATTAAGGTGAGACCAGTCTCCTGTAGTGCTGTGATTGGACTGAGAGTTATTTCATTTTCAGAATTCATCTCAGCTGCCGCTCTTAAGTTCGATCCTTTAACCTGGAAGGGTGTTACTTCTTATATACATGTACTGTATACTCGATTACTAGACAATCATTTAAATATTTTCCATATTAAATATTTTCCTCTGTCTGAATTGTACAGATTAATTCATTTTAGTTGTCCTTGATATACTTTAAACCGGCATATAGTTTAAAAAGAAAGGAACCTTTTGAAACCGTTTATAATCATGTCCTTGCTTTTTTTCCCAAAATGCAGCTTTTCAGTAAATATGAGAAATTAACTTCTGCAAATCTGAATTAATAATTTATGATTTTAGCCTAAGACTTGTATCAAGTCTTAAATCTAAACAATTGTTATCCTGACATGCAAATGGTGGTTCTTTTTATAACATACAAATCACACTTCTGTTAAAATAGACATCTGTCTTTAATTGCTTTGTTTTTTATGTAGATTGTAAATTTAATGTATATGCACAGCATATCACGTTTTGTGTGTTCAATGAATAAGTGTTAAGAATAGATTAAAGTTGTAACATATTCGTTTATTATTTGTACCGCATTTCAGATGTTCAGAATGCACTTTCATTGTTAAATGTTGTTATTGTTTTATTTTAATGTTATTGTTAATTAATAATTATACTAAAGATGGGGGGTTTTTAAACAGGAATATTTAAGTGATTGGAGAGATGTTCAGAAACTTTCATCCATCCTTACCAGCTTTCTTGGTCAAACCTCTTGATTGGAGAGGAACACTTCTGAATCATTGCGTTTGTTCCTGTTTGTGCAATGTCCTCAGCACTACAGGACATGCAAGGTGACGTGGACTTCTACACACTCTTCATTAACTCTTCACACTCCAACCGCTCTGTCACATTTCCGCCTGATATCAACTCTGCAGTGATTGAAGAGTTGCAACCCAATACGCAGTACAAGCTCTGTATCCAAGTCTTCAATGGGGTTCACACAATCAACAGTCAGGAGGTCTTTATCACCACTTCTGATGGAGGTAAGTATTCAACTTATTCCAAAGGTGAAAATGAAATAGGCTGATTTTTTAATTTAATTTTTATCTTTTTTAAGTTGATAGCAGTCCTGCGTCCCAACAAAAAAATATCTTGTTCTTAAAAGAAAAAGGGGGATAAAATGCTTGTGTGTTGTCAAGAGGTAGATCAATAATAGGTCTCTTGTGTGGCTGCATTAGTGTACTTTAATAAAAAATATTAACACAGTCTCTTCTGCTCTTCTTCTGTCAATAAATCAAAGCAGTTTAAAAAGCAGTTAATGCTTTTGTTTTTAGTTCTTTGTTCATCAATAGTGATTTGTGCTGCGAAGTAGAAAGCTTTTAGGAAGACACTCAAAACAAAGGGCTTTCCTTTATTTGCTGGCAATGTGTCACGCATCTTTACCTCTTGAAAACAAAATCCCTCTGCCAGTTGTAGCACATGCACTTCCTTACATTTCAGAGAATTTTTTTCATTATCTCCCTAACACATCTGTTCACTTGTACTCTTGAAAAGCAAAGAACTTAAAGAGCAAATTGTGGGGATTCAGTAAATGTATTATACATTAGTACAAGTTGCCACATCTGTTTAGGAAATGTGTTGACATCTTGACAGGTTTGCTGTCACAAGATGTTTGACTGCATTCTGTATCACATGGGCATCTCATTGAGGCTAAGAAAAATCAGTGAGAACTGAATTAAAGGAGGCCAAGGTTTCTATGAGAAAATTATTTGACATATCAGATTATTGTATCAGGTGCTTGTTAGTCCCTCTGCATTTAAAACAAAACATTAAACATTTTACAGTGTTAAAAATAATGTGTTTTTCTTTGAAAGATGAAATGCTGATACTTGTTCAGTATCTGCCTTCTTGTAGTAGACTGATAATTTGAAGCAATTTTTTAGTTCCAAGATAACTTGAGCTAAGATCAAGCTATTCAGGAGTTAATAATCAAAGTTGTTCTTGCTTAAATTGATAAAATAGAAGGCATTCATTGTGTTATGTGTTAGTTTTTATTGTTCACAGGTCTATAGTCAAAGACCTCATTGGCTTTATACTTTCTGCAGTATGTTTGTCAGTTAAAGCACAGATATCTATCAATTGAGAATGAAGTCTAATTTATTGTATTTAAATAGTAAATTTAAAAGTAAAGTGTTTGTTACCATATCTATAATTTATATTGATAGATTTTAAATATAGATAAGTCTAGTATGTGTAATCCTTGTTTACTTAAAAGAAGTGCATTTAATTTTTAATTAGTATTGTAGAAGAACAGCATAGATTCTGCTAAACAAAAAAAGTCATATTACAATGTGTTAATGAATGAAATTCCAATTTATAAAATACTGTAGTGTATTATGCATTTACAAATACAAAAAGTTGGTCAATTGCAAGTTTTAATGTAGCAGTTAAGAAATGTAGCAATAAAACCTTCTACAATACATGTAAATAACCTTCTCTATATAGTTATTCTCACTGCTGGATTATTTAGGAAATAAATTGAAGGGAACATATTGATGCATTTATTACACTTATAAATCAGTAGATGTTATTCTGAGCAGGGATCTGTTTTAGAATTTTCATCCTTCATGACATATACAGATGCAGCCATTCAAAATGCGCGGGGGCGATGCCGCATTATTTTCCGGTACGCTGTACGCAGTCTACCGCAAGTTACCGGTAAATACCGCGAGTTACCGGTAAATGCCGCTAGTTACCGTAAATTCTCCTATAATACGACAAGCAAAATAATAGTATCCGGAATTTCCGCAAGGTGGAGCTAATAAAGCTCATCCTCTCATGTTTGAGC